CATGACGTCAATCAGGCTAAACATGACATCAGAACATTAGGAGAACAAAGAACATCCAGAGCAATACGGTGCCTCGAAGGGCGAGAAGGGGGGAAACAGGGGAACACAGCGGGACAAGGTGCAGTGGGTAAGGGAGTCGGAGAGGCAGAGGGGAGAGACAGAGAGAGACAGGCGAGCGACGTTACAACCACCATGAACTTGCAACAGATTATGAGACCCAGCTCAATTAGCGCCGACGGCATCAAGGTCTTCGCTAGCGCTGAGCAGGATGCCAACCTCTTCTTCATCACCGTCGAGGCCAAGCTCATCGCCGCTGGCATCGACGCTGGCATCATCGCCGAGGGTGGTGCTGACCACCAAGGAGACGGGCAGGCTCCAGCAGCTGCCTCATCGCCGAGCCCAAGCACCCACGGTGCTTCGGGTCCCCGCTGTTGACAGGCAAGTCCTGTCTGCTGAGTCATCATTGACCTCCTTTCTTCACGACACCACAAATTTGCATTCACCTCTCTTGTGTTCTGGAATGTTCACGTGATTTCCCTCCAACCTGTTGCACGTGCAGTGTTTAGCTTGTGTGGTTGCTCGATGTTACATGTTCTTGCATAACACACCACATAACCACACAACTCTCAACAAACACTGCCACGTCACCACTTTGCGTTGTCGACAATTCTTGTCTTGTGCTCTGTTTCTTTCTGTTGGAGTGTTCATTCATCCTACATCCTTGTTTGCTTCACAACTCAAGTAAACACACACAACTCTCTCTTGCCAAGACAATCTCCCACACAACACACAGCACACTCTGCACAGGCAAGTCCTGTCTGCTGAGTCATCATTGACCTCCTTTCTTCACGACACCACAAATTTGCATTCACCTCTCTTGTGTTCTGGAATGTTCACGTGATTTCCCTCCAACCTGTTGCACGTGCAGTGTTTAGCTTGTGTGGTTGCTCGATGTTACATGTTCTTGCATAACACACCACATAACCACACAACTCTCAACAAACACTGCCACGTCACCACTTTGCGTTGTCGACAATTCTTGTCTTGTGCTCTGTTTCTTTCTGTTGGAGTGTTCATTCATCCTACATCCTTGTTTGCTTCACAACTCAAGTAAACACACACAACTCTCTCTTGCCAAGACAATCTCCCACACAACACACAGCACACTCTGCACACACACACACACACAAGTCTCCAACAACAGCACCACCACCATGAACTTGCAACAGCCGTATCCAGTTTGCCACATGGAGCGTGCCTCTGCTGCCGTCCAAGGACACCGGCCATCTCTTCCTCTACGCCAGCACCACGACCTCCCAACAAGCCACGGCGCTTACGGGGGAGCTCGTGCACAGCAGCGATGGGGAAGCCGAGGATGCTGACGAGGGCGCCTCCGCACACGACGTGCTAGGCCATCGCAGCAGCGCGGCCGTCGACGCCATCCGTCAGCAGATTGCCCAGGCCTCTTCCAAGCACATCGTCACCTGTGGACCATGTGCGCTTGGCAAGAGCACGCGCGCCTCCATCCCAAAGCAGTCTGCTCCACGCAGCGCTGGGCCATGCCAGCTGCTCTACGCCGACATCGCCGGTCCGCTGGAGGAGACGTCGCTGCGAGGTGCACGCTACGCGCTGACCTTCATCGACGACTGCACGCGTTTCGCCTGGACGTTCCTCATCCGGCACAAGAACGACGTCGGCGCGGCCCTGGAGCAGCTGCGCAAGGACCGCCACGTCGTCAACGCGCTCCGAGGCGCCACGCTGCAGACGGACAGCGACGCCGTCTTCAAGAGCCAGGACTTCACCGACCTGTGCCTGGCCTTCGACATCAAGCAGCGCTTCTCGCCACCGCACTCGCAGGCCAAGAACGGATCCGCAGAGCGCACCTTCCGCACCCTCTTCGAGACGGCGCGTACGATGCTGTTTGCTGCGGACCTGGACAAGCCGTTCTGGGGCTTCGCCGTGCAGCACGCCACGCTGCTGCACAACGTCGCGCCACGCAGGAGCCTCAAGGACAAGTCACCGTTCGAGGCCCTGACTGGGCACCCCTTCGACGTCAGCCTGCTGCGCGTCTTCGGCTCGCCGGCCTACGTGCATGTGGAGAAGAGCAGCACGCGGCACAAGCTTGACCCACGCTCACGCGTTGGCGTCTACGTCGGCTTCGCCGAGGAGGACCAGGCCCACGTCGTCTGGATGCCGGACACGCGACGCGTTGTCCACACCATCCACGCTCGCTTCGGCGCCATCAAGAACAAGCACGCCGCCTCCTCTCAGCAGCAGCAAGAGCAGAACAGCGGTGCCTCTGCTTCGCATGCCAACAAGACCGCTCAGCGTTCAACCGAGGAAAGTGCCACCGGCGCTCCCACTGCACCACGTGCGGGGGAGCCGCAGCTCCAGCCACGCGCCCTTGGCGGCTCCGTCTGGGACCAGCTGCTGGTGTCCGAGACCCTCGGCGACAAGGACACCTCTGGTGGCTCAACCACCACGTGTCACGTTGCCACCAGCGCTGCTGGTACGGGGGAGAAGACATCAGCAGTGGGTGGTCATCTATCAGACATCGCTGCTGGCAGTTTTGCCACGTCAGCTGAGCCAGCCACCGTCAAGGAGGCGCTTGCCTCGCCAGACTCTGAGGAGTGGCGCCAAGCCATCCTGGACGAGTTTGCGGCAATGCAGGCCAATGACGTCTATGACGTCGTGCCTCGCGCTGACCTTCCCAAGGGCCACAAGCTGCTCCGCAGCATGGTCATCTTTCGGAGGAAGCGCGATGGCCAGGGCAAGGTGATTAAGTACAAGGCGCGCTGGGTTGCCAAGGGCTACTCCCAGGTCCACGGTGTCAACTACACGGACACCTTTGCTCCGACGGCTACCATCGCAGCCATCCGCACCATGCTCGCCATGGCCGTCGCGCGTGGCATGGACATCCAGCAGATGGACGTCAACACGGCGTTCCTCAACGCGCCCGTGGATCACGAGATCTACGTCCAGCCACCGGCCGTCGACGGCATCTTCTCGCCGAATACGGTCCTGCGCCTCAAGCGCGGGCTGTATGGCCTGAAGCAGAGCCCGCGTCTGTGGAACCACACGCTGGACGCCTGGATGCGCGAGCAGGACTTCGTCGCCACAGCCACGGACGCCTGCATCTACCGCCGCACCTGCAAGGGTGGCAAGATGATGTGGGTTGCCGTCTACGTGGACGACCTGCTCATCTTCGCCGACAGCGACAGCGACATGGCCGCGTTCAAGAAGGCCATCTCCAAGCGCTTCAAGATGAAGGACCTGGGCAGCCCAGACATATGTCTCGGCATCAAGGTGCAGCACGACCGCAAGGCCAGGACCGTCACCATGAGCCAGGAGCACTACCTGCGCAGCGTGCTGGAGACCTTCGGCATGGCTGACTGCAAGCCTGTCGGCACGCCGCTCTGCACGGGCTACGTCGACAAGCCAGCCGACAAGGAGGAGCCACTCCCGGACGTGCCGTTCCGCGAGCTGCTTGGCTCCCTCCTCTATGCTGCGACGATGACGCGCCCAGACATCTCGGCGGCTGTCTCCATCCTGTCTCGCCGTATGCAGCACTTCGGCATGGACCACTGGAAGGCTGCCAAGCACCTTCTTCGCTACATCAAGGGCACCTTGTCCTACACCATCAAGTACGCCGCCACTGGCGACACCAGCAACGGCAGCACTGCCGACGGCGTGCTCTCAGCGTACTCGGATGCGTCCTTCGCCTCCGACGTTGACACGCGACGTTCCCGCACGGGCTTCGTCGTCTTCTGTTCCACGGGCCCCGTGTCCTGGAACTCCAAGCTGCAGGCCACCGTGGCCACAGCCTCCGCCGACGCGGAGTACATGGCTCTCGCAGCCACCGCACAGGAACTCATGTTCCTTCGCCAACTCCAGGAGGAGCTCACCGGCGCCGTCCTGTGCGAGCCCACGCTCGTCCACACGGACAACCAGCCGGCGCAGCGCGTTGCCGAACACGCCGCCTCGCGCATGCGGCACATCCTCGTCAAGTACCACTACATCCGCGAGTGCGTCGACACCAAGAGGATTGTGCTGAGCTACCTCGCCACGGAGCACATGATCGCAGATCTCCTCACGAAGATCCTCCCTCGGCCCAAGACGGCTCAGTTCTGCACGATGCTGTTCGACCAGCGTCCTCTGCCAGGCTGCCAGCCACGGGCCCGTCCTCATTCGGGCCGGTCGCCACGTCCTTCGACTCCGCGTCAGGACCTCTGAGTGGCCGCGCACCACAGGACACGCCTTCACTCGGGCCAGCCTTCCACAACAGGCTGCGCACCACAGGCACCAACCATTTTCTTAAACGTGTTCCACAACACACGTCCTTACTCACATCTCACCTACATCTGCCCATGCCATTCCTACATGCATGACATCATCCACATGCTCATCACGTTTCAGAACATCAACGCAGCAGAGAGGTAGGTCAATGCGGGGGAGTGTTGACAGGCAAGTCCTGTCTGCTGAGTCATCATTGACCTCCCTTCTTCACGACACCACAAATTTGCATTCACCTCTCTTGTGTTCTGGAATGTTCACGTGATTTCTCTCCAACCTGTTGCACGTGCAGTGTTTAGCTTGTGTGGTTGCTCGATGTTACATGCTCTTGCATAACACACCACATAACCACACAACTCTCAACAAACACTACCACGTCACCACTTTGCGTTGTCGACATCCCTCCTTGCTTCACAACTCAAGTAACTTGCCAAGGCAATCTCCTACACAGCACACAGCACACACAGCACACACACAGCACACACAGCACACACACACATCAGGAATAGCAGCAACAAAGATGAAGAAGTGTTCGTGTGTGTTTTTGTTTTTTGTGCAGCCAGGTTTATTAATTTCGTGTGCTTGTGAGGTATTGTTCGGATAATTATCGATGGCCTTGTCTAGTCGCCCTTGATTAATTCAGGGAACTAACAGCTTAGAAACAACCCCCGGGTGTACACCGACGGCGTTGCCGCTGTTGGCGGGACGCAAGCATTTGTTTGCGTGCGCGCGTGTTTCTATGCTTGAGTGTGTGTTCGACACGTAGCATAAGGTGACTTTTACTTGGTCTCGTCCTGTGCATCCGTGTGTGTGTGTGTGTGTGTGTGTGTGTGTGTGTGTTTGTGTGTGTTTGTGTGTGTTTGTGTGTGTGTGTGTTTGAGGAGCGACCGAGTGTGATTTGTGTGCATGCTCACTCGCGGGTGTTGTCAGACAGAGTAAGCTTGTTTTAAATATTAATAGGCCAGTGTCATTTAAAAAGACACACACACACACACACACACACACACACACACACACACACACACACACACACACACACACACACACACACACACACACACACACACACACACACACACACACACACACACCCATGCGCACCGCTGCCCTTTGTTTTGCCGCAATTGCCTTCCCCATCTTTGAGCGCCGGGAACAGTGTAAGATTTCAGCGAGTTTTCCCCAATAAACCTGCATAAACACACACACACACACACACACACACACACTCTCTCTCTCTCTCTCTCTCTCTGCTTTGCTGACCTCACGTACGGGAGGTTTCATTCATCCAGCTCAAAGCAAGAAACACGAGGGTGACATGAACATGTCAGGCAAGAGGGAAACACGCAAGTGAGTGAGCAACACGGATGCAAAACTGCGCAAACAACGGAAATGGCGAAACGAGGAAGCAACGAAATGGGCGAGCTTTTCAGGCTCAACGAAAGTAAGAGCAGCAACAACCCCTGAAACAAACAACGAGCGCAGGGGGCAAACGGAAACAACAAGGCGGGAAACAACAAGGCGGGAACAAGGAAGCGGCGGTACACAAGAAACAGCAGCAATGGAAAAAGCAGCGACATCAGGAGGTGGCCGACGCGTCGTCCACGAGGAGTCGAGCAATAACGGCGTCAAGCTTGGCATGGAGGCCACGCACTTCTTCACGAAGCACGTCCACCTAGTCAATGGAAACGGGGCAGCACCTCACGGGTGAGTTTGCGACAACCAACACAATGTGTGTGCGTGTGTGTGTGTGTGTGTGTGTGCGTGTGTGTGCGTGTGCGGCGTTTCACAGTCGTTGTTGTTGCATCTCTGCCTCCCTCAATCACAGACACACAGACACACAGACACACAGATACACAAAGACACACAGACAGAGACACAGACACAACACGTTACCGTGTCTTGTTCGGCATTCCGGTGGTCCAACGCCAGCGCCCGGTTAACGGGGAAAAACTGGAGCTCCTCCTTCTCTGCCAAGCGCGAGGACACGTAGAACTCGTGACTCGTGTAGTCGTTCATGTCCTTCTGGTCCAGGTAGAGCAGGAAATAGAGGTAGTTCCACATGTTGTGCTCGTGCTTGATGTGGTGCTCGAATCCCTTGCCATAGCGATCAAACTCGTGGCTCTTGATGCTGTGCGGTGAACCAAGGCAACACACACGCAGGCATGAAGGAAGACGTGTAAGTGCGTGCCCTGCCACGAAACGCGAGCATCAAAGAATCAAGCTAAACCCTCAGACTGTGTGAAGCAAGGCCAGAGCAACCACAACGCACCTGCAGATGAAGCACTCGTTCTCCATGGCATCCTCGATCTGGTATTTCTCATCACGGAGCTCGGAGAACGTGTCCACAATGATACCAAACACGACGTTGAGGCCAACAATCGTGACGAGGATGAAGAAGGAAAGGTCAAAGATGACACGCAGGCCAGCGTCGCGCCAGCTGAACGTCTCCGGAATCAGCCCTTCGCCAAGCCCGCCGCCGTTCATCAACCCAAACCGCAGGCTCGTCACAAAACACTGCGTCAAAAGTCGCGTGCGCGTGCGTGCGTGCGTGCGTGTATGTGTGCGTGCGTGCGTGCGTGCGTGTGTGTGTGTGTGTGTGTGTGTGTGTGTGAGTAGGTGTGTGTGTGTGTGAGTAGGTGTGTGTGTGTGTATGTGTGTGTGTGTATGTGTGTGTGTGAGTAGGTGTGAATGTGGGTTGATGTACCCGAGCCAGAATGTGCGATTGACATGGCTTGTCGTCATCCTCACTCAGCCCACGTTGCACCGTTTCCATCATCTCCCAACAAGCTCGTGCGTGCGTACCTGGAATAGCGTGTCGCACCAGTAGCCGTCCTCATATGGGACGCGCCGACGGAGGAATGCGAAGATAAGGAACGAGTAAACGTACACGACAATGCACAGCAGCCCTGCCACCCACAGCAGCGATTGCCCGTTCTTCGTCACAGCCTGTGTGAAGACGCGCATGCACAAGAGCCAAAAACAAGGAGCAACCGAGCTATTGGTGAGCACACAGGGGACACAGGAGACACAGCACACGCACACAACTGCAGTCAAACACACACACACACACACACACACACACGTACGCGAATGGCGCGGTTGAGAATGTCGTTGCCGATGATAACGTGGAAGAGGTGGTACGCGAAGAAGTAACCCGAGTACAGGAGACCGAGGACAGAGAGCGGAATCAGCAAGAAGTGATGGAAC